GATTGGGCAATATCCATGCGTATAGTTTGAAAGTCGTGAAGCTCATAAATATGTAATTTTAATTCTACGTTGACTCGTAACATTCAAAGTCAATAGCTGCAAAAGACCGTGGTTGTTATTTGGACCAAGTAAAATACATACTCCTCTTGTCCTATTTATAAGGCACTTCCAACATGTTTCACACAGACCAAGAAAAACCTTAAACTGCATTAACTCTTCATTAAAATATAGCAACTTTCCAACTTTACCCCTATTTAATATATACACATTTAAAAAAAATAACTATCTACACTATAATAAATGAAGGACAATATAGTATATTCATAGTAAAAATTTAATGAAGTGACTTATAAATAGGAACAAAAAAAACATTCTCTCTCTGCCCTATAAATAGGACCAGAGGAGTATTTTTGAGGCGGTCAGACGTTAAACACACCTCATCATCAATTACTTTTCCTTTGAATTAATGTTGCGTTTTACGTGTTTTGTCTCTCCACAGCTAATTACGTTGAAAGTTATACACAACTAAACTAATCAGATTCTCTTTCAATCATGTGGCGGATATTGCTCTATAAATTGGTAGGCAACACCAAGAAGCAAGAAGCATTATAACGTCCTGCCAATTAATAAAGACGAGATTCATGGCTGCTGTATCTTCTCTTTACCGATGTGTGATACTATTATGGATTGTGTTCATTGCCTCCATTCTTGTTATCCTTCAGTCCGCTCAGGCTACCTCAGGTTTGCGTTTTGTTTGTGCCACCAAAGAATATATACTGGGTAGTTACTAACTCTTTGTTTTGATTTGGATACACTCAAGGGCGTTTTTGGGATTTAGAAACCGGAAAAACACATGCAGTGCTATCTCCGGTTGTCCGTATAAAACTCATTTGACTAATTTAGAGAGATTAAAAGAATGAAATAAATTATTTAAAATATTATATTTATTATTTTTCTTTAAACTAATTTGCTTGGCTTGTAAACTGATATACAATATAATAATACACATAATTATTTCAAAGAGACCGTATAACATATATTATAAATAATTATTTTTATTTTTATTTTCAAATTAGCTAGCTAAGCCTTATATCAAAGGTAGTATCAAATTTGTATAAATTTTAGGCATCCGAGTTAGGTATAATGGAAATTTACTCCAATCACGAGGTTTAACGTGTGTGGTGATGTGCTTGCAGGTATGAAGATGAGGAAACTGGGTGGGTTGCCAACAAGTCCACCTGTCCCCCAAGGTTCCGCTGGTTCGTCTCCGATTCATGACCGCTAGGCATTTATATTCATTCACACGCACACAATTAGAATCACAATATGTGATTAAAATGTTTAGTGATGGCATCGATCACCTGTATCCAAAAAAATTTTTAGAAAAAAAAAGCTTTAGCGTACTTCTCAACTGTCGAATGTCAAAATTAATCATTCGAATATTTTATTTGGAAACGCCGATCAAACAATAATATTACGTTTTTCTTTAATTCTTTCTTTTTGTTTTTATTTCACGTTGTTTTCGTTTCTTTTCTTTTTCTTCTTTTGGGTATTGTAATGGCCTCTTGTTTTCTGAGAAATTAAACACATTCATAAGGTGAATTTTAATTACATATATCCAACTCAAGTTGGCATGTGAAAAATACCATTCAATTAATTCAGATAAATCATTGGGAAAAAGACAGAAAAATGCACCTCCAACTCTAAAAGCCCAGAAACGTCTGCCCAATTCCACAAATCCCATTTTGGTACCATGAGACCAAATTGGGATTATTATGTGAAAGGAAAAGACCACATTGCCCTTCATTTTAAATATTATTTTTAAAATATCACAGACCCTACTGGCCGGCCGGTCACCGGACCTCCGGCAACGGCGGTCATCGGAGCTCCGGCGACCAGCCGACAATTGGTCACCGGAGCTCCGGTGGTCGGAATTTTTTTTTTTGAAAATTTTTACAACTTCAATATAACGGTTAACAACTTTTGTAATGCTATTCACAACTTCAGTATAGCAATTAACAACAGCTTTTCTGGAAAATTCAACAAACTCCGGCGACCGAAAACAATTATTTTGAAAATTTTTACAACTCCAATATAATCGTTAACAACTTTTGTAATGCCATTCACAACTTCAATATAGTAATTAACAACAGCTTTTCTGGGAAATTCAACAAACTCCGGCGACAGGAAACAATTTTTTTGAAAATTTTTACAACTTCAATATAACCGTTAACAACTTTTGTAATGCCATTCACAACTTCAATATAGCAATTAACAACAGCTTTTCTGAGAAATTCAACAAACTCCGGCGACCGGAAACAATTTTTTAAAAATTTTTTACAACTTCAGTATAGCGGTTAACAACTTTTGTAACCCTATTAACAACTTCAATATAGCGGTTGAAAAAACCTGTTGTTAACCGCTATACTGAAGTTGTTAATAGGGTTACAAAAGTTGTTAACCGCTATGCTGAAGTTGTAAAAATTTTCAAAAAAATTGTTTCCGGTTGCCGGAGTTTGTTGAATTTCCCAGAAAAGCTGTTGTTAATTGCTATATTGAAGTTGTGAATGGCATTACAAAAGTTGTTAACGGTTATATTGGAGTTGTAAAAATTTTCAACTTCAGTATAACGTTCACAATTACGTTTTTTTGAAAATTTTTACAACTCCAATATAACGGTTAACAACTTTGATATAGCAGTTAACAACAAGTTTTTAAATTCAAAAAGTGACATTTTTATAACTTCAGTAATGCCTTTAACAAACTCAAAAACCTGTTGTTAACCGCTATACTAAAGTTGTTAATAGGGTTACAAAAGTTGTTAACCGCTATACTGAAGTTGTAAAAATTTTCAAAAAAATTGTTTCCGATCGCCGGAGTTTGTTGAATTTCCCTGAAAAGCTATTGTTAATTGCTATATTGAAGTTGTGAATGGCATTACAAAAGTTGTTAACGGTTATATTGGAGTTATAAAAATTTTCAACTTCAGTATAACGTTCACAATTACGTTTTTTTGAAAATTTTTACAACTCCAATATAACGGTTAACAACTTTGATATAGCAGTTAACAACAAGTTTTTAAATTCAAAAAGTGACATTTTTATAACTTCAGTAATGCATTTAACAAACTGAAAAACCTGTTGTTAACCGCTATACTGAAGTTGTAAAAATTTTCAAAAAAATTGTTTCCGATCGCCGGAGTTTGTTGAATTTCCCAGAAAAAACTGTTGTTAATTGCTATATTGAAGTTGTGAATGGCATTACAAAAGTTGTTAACGGTTATATTGGAGTTGTAAAAATTTTCAACTTCAGTATAACGTTCACAATTACGTTTTTTTGAAAATTTTTACAACTATAATATAACGGTTAATAACTTTGATATAGCAGTTAACAACAAGTTTTTAAATTCAAAAAGTGGCTTTTTTATAACTTCAGTAATGCCTTTAACAAACTCAAAAACCTGTTGTTAACCACTATACTGAAGTTGTTCATAGGCTTACAAAAGTTGTTAACCGTTATATTGAAATTGTAAAAATTTTCAAAAAAATTGTTTCCGGTCGCTTGAGTTTGTTGTTGTTAACCGCTATATTGAAGTTGTTAATAGGGTTACAAAAGTTGTTAACCGCTATACTGAAGTTGTAAAAATTTTCAAAAAAATTATTTCCGGTCGCCGGAGTTTGTTGAATTTCCCAGAAAAGCTGTTGTTAATTGCTATATTGAAGTTGTGAATGGCATTACAAAAGTTGTTAACGGTTATATTGAAGTTGTAAAAATTTTCAAAATAATTGTTTCCTGTCGCCGGAGTTTGTTGAATTTCCCAGAAAAGCTGTTATTAATTGCTATACTGAAGTTGTGAATAGCATTACAAAAGTTGTTAACCGTTATATTGAAGTTGTAAAAATTTTCAAAAAAAAAAAATTCCGACCGCCGGAGCTCCGGTGACCAATTGTCGGCTGGTCGCCGGAGCTCCGGTGACCGCCGCTGCCGGAGGTCCGGTGACCGGCCGGCCAGTAGGGGCTGTGATATTTTTAAAAATAATATTTAAAATGAAGGGCAATGTGGTCTTTTCCTTTCACATAATAATCCCAATTTGGTCTCATGGTACCAAAATGGGATTTGTGGAATTGGGCGGACGTTTCTGGGCTTTTGGAGTTTGAGGTGCATTTTTCTGTCTTTTTCCCTAAATCATTCCATACTTTATAAATTTAAACTTAATAAACAAGCAAGTGTTCATAACAAAGCACAAATAACGTCCAACCAGTGCCAACAACTAATATAAACACTTGTTCGTATGTCAAGGTAAAGATATTTGTTTCTTGGCGATATAAGATTAAAATGATTTATACTTATTTGTCAACGCTACACTTCTTTTTTTTTTTTTTTAATTATTGTTCAAGTAAAATTAATATTAACTTTTTATTAATATTAACATGGAATACAGGTATTCGCCTCCTATAAATTTTTCTGGTCCCATCCGCCGTAATTAAAATACTCCTCCGGTCCTTATTATAAGACCCAATTTGACTTTTTATTTGGTCCTAATTATAAGACCCAATCCATTTTCTCTCTTATATTTATGCATTTTTTCCAAGATAATCCTTCTAATAATGATAGTTTTAGCCAATATACTTAATTAGCAAGGATATTTTAGGAATGACAACACTTATTTATTATAAATAACCAACTTAACTTACTTCCTTAATTTCCTCAAATAAGTCAATTGGGTCTTATAATTAGGACCGGAGGAGTATTTCCTTTCTTTATAGATTTAGATGCTAAATTTGTATTTTACAGTGATAGCATGCGGGCTTGATTTCTTCCCAATCCTTCAACGTACCTTTGGATTCTACCTGAAATTTTAAGCCGATTTATAAATGGGCCTCATTAAGTACAATGGACATTCAGAACTTACCACCCCTCTGTGGGCCCGAACAGCCCATTGGACTAGGCCCAAACAAAGACAGAGAAGGAATTAGAAAATTTGAAGTAAGGAATCGAAGGGCTTTACCCCAAAGGGAGCCCTTCTAGAAATTCCCAAAGGCCTGGGCCAAACCCAGGCCCAAGAGGGGGTTTGGAAATAGTTTTCAACCAGCAATAGACGCGCCTCGGTTAGAACCTCACTGTTGCGTCATTGGCCCAAGCGCAAAAAGGAGCTTCCACTAACTTCTAGGCTCTCTTTTGTATCCCTTGCCCTTTCGTTAGCCGATGTGGGACATAAAACGAGAACTCGGCTGTGCTCTGTAACGTGCTCCGGTACCCGTACGGTTATCACATATACCTCTTTTTTATGTAATAAAGCATCTAATTTACCCCTTAAACAGTCCACAGGATTCTGATTTAAGGCGCTAATTAATGGCATTTGACATTCTATTTGTGAGAGTGAAGGGTCTCAAAATCTGTCCCAAAAAGTTGGAAGATCATCAACATTGCTCTCGTACACCTTCATTAATAATATATTCCTAGGTATTGGGTGTTGGCCAATAGAACCTTCAGAAGCTGTATTCCTCTCTTTTATTATTGTGTTTCATGTTTAAACGATTTCAGGACATATTTAGAATTTTACAAATTTTTCAGCATGTACACGTTGTGTAGAATCATACTACGGTCTCTGAGTTATACATTAAGTGACATCAAATTAACCCAGAGAAAAGTTAAACATTTATTCATCTATATATCTCCAAAACCAACTCCCTCAAACATATGTACTCCCATGTCTTCTGTATAAGTAATTACTAGGATTTGAATTTTAAGTCATAAAGGCAGTACTCCCGCTCTGGACTCATTATTTTGTTATTTACATCGTAGTTCCATTTATATTGGATTTGCGCCTAATGCACAAAGGGTGAACTAGATATAATTCAATAGTATCTTTTACTACTTTCTCATTATTCTTCCACTTGTTCCGTCTACTCTTTTCACGCTGTCCTCCAATATACTATACAATTTCTGCTTCATTCCTATTTCTTACAAAACCTCAAAGTGGCTCTATTTTATTATAGTCCATTTCTATATATCTGGAATATGCCTAACAAAAAAATGAATATTTTTAGGAAATACTCAGGCAGAGAAGCAATGGACCTCATCTCTCTTGGATGAACCATATAGTCAAGAGAAACCTTGAACCAAAATAAACGAGTTTGCCCCACCCATAAGTAAATATTTCGTAGTAGCGTCATAGCTCACTAATAACTTAGGTCTTGTTCAGCACAAAATATTAAAAATGAGAGATAATTAAAGATGGCGATTGGGATTTTAAAAAAAATAAAAGAGTGTTTAATATAAAAGATTGCTTATTATATGGAATAGGACAAATTCATGTACATTACATCAAGGAATACCATAGGAGATGTGGTATTCTCCAATCCTATTTTTATAGGTTTGTTGAATTCATGTAACAACCAATTATTCATATTAAATGCTTTTTCAATGGTCTTTTTCAATCTCAATTCCAATCTTTACCTCTTATTTGCAATACTTCAAGGGGAAATGGCAAATAAAGACCCTTGAAAATATAAAATGGCAATTTGGGTACTTCAATTCATAAAATAGCTATCAGAGACCGGGTCCTAGATTGCAATTATGAAATGAAGCCCAAATGACTAAAATGCCCTTCCTTTTCTCTTTCTTCCAGCACCCCATTTCTTTCTCTTTCTTCCAGCACCCCATTTCTTTCTCTTTCCTTCTTCTCTTCCTCTCTCTCTTTGTCCTACTCTCCCTCTCCCTCTCTCTTCTGATATTAGAAACGTAAATTTCTAACTTCCTTTCTCTCTCTCCCCCCTCTTTCTTCTCTTTCCTTCTTCTACTCTCCTTCGACTTCATTCTTCTTCTCCAGAACCGTGACGTTCTTCCATGTTTTTCCCAACCCATTGATTTGCAATGGGAAAAATGAAAACATGTTAACCGTGTAGCTTCCATATTTAATTTTCTGCAAAACATGTAATGCTAATAGCCTAATATAGTACTCTTCATATAAAAGCTCTCATTCTCCATAATCTCTCTTTATTCTACAATCTCATCTCCTACTGATATACTCGAATTAACAACTATTACCTCCTTTCATTGTAAAAAACTGGTTGTTGTCAAAGAATTCTGGAAATTATCATTTACGAAGAGAAATGTAAACTTGTATAAAAACCTTATCAGAAGTGATAAGTTCACTATGACAAATGACAAGCTGAGTATGGTAAATGACAAGTTCTCATAAGGTTTTCATACAATTTTAAATTTCTCTGTTAACATGATTGAATTTTCATTTTGATTTATGAAATGACAAATTTACTATGGCAAATGACAAGTTGAGTTTGACAAATGACAAGTTCCCATAAGGTTTTCATACAATTTCAAATTTCTCTATTAAAATGACTGAATTTCCATATTGATTTACGAAGTGAAAAGTTTACTATGACAAATAACAAGTTGAATATGACAAATGACAAGTTCACATAAGAATTTCATACAATTTTAAATTTATCTGTTGAAATGACTGAATTTCCACATTGATTTACAAAGTGACAAGTTTACTATGACAAATGACAAGTTTCCATAAGGTTTTTATGCAATTTCAAATTTCTCTATCAAAATGACAGAATTTTCATGTTGATTTACGAAGTGACAAATTTACTATGGCAAATAACAAATTGAGTTTGACAAATGACAAGTTCCCATAAGGTTTTCATACAATTTCAAATTTCTCCATTAAAATGACTAATTTCTACATTGATTTACGAAGTGACAAGTTTACTATGACAAATAACAAGTTGCGTTTGGCAAATGACAAGTCCCCATAAGGTTTTCATACAATTTCAAAAAAATGAATGAATTTTCACATTGATTTATGAAGTGACAAGTTTACTATGGCAAATAACAAGTTGAGTATGGAAAATGACAAGTTCCCATGAGATTTTCATACAATTTCAAATTTCTTCGTTAAAATGACTAAATTTTCATATTGACTTACGAAGTGACAAGTTTACTATGGCAAATGATAAGTTGAGTTTGGCAAATGACAAGTTCCCATCAGGTTTTCACACAATTTCAAATTTCTCTGTCAAAATGACTGAATTTTCACATTGATTTACGAAGTAACAAGTTTACTATAACAAATGACAAATTGAGTATAGCAAATAACAAGTTCCCATAAGGTTTCATACAATTTCAAATTTCTCTGTTGAAATTAAAATTTGCAGATTTCTGACAGCAACTACTTCTGATAAGCAGTAAATGACAAGTTTAGTAAGATTAATGACAAGTTTTGTGAGTTGAACCCCTTGTACAAGGAAACTAATTACGAGCTGCACCTCATGCAATCTTGAGTCTTACATTCCATCATAAAGTTGACTTCCCTTCCTCATTCACATGCAATGAATCATCCAAGCTTTCATTCTTTAAGGAGGAGTAGATTATGAACTTGTCACCATCAAATTGAAATGTATTTCCTAATCTAACCATAGTCCTCAAAGAATTTCTTGACACCTTGTTCCATTTGGAAGAATTGTCCTGTACGCAAGACAAAATCCAATATGATCTTGGTATGTTTTCTGGGTATGTACACACAAAAAAGTTCAAACTATATATAAAAAGACACATACACATTAAAATAGCCTTTGACTTTCTCCATGAAATTGATAAATTGACTAATGAAAGTTAATCATGAATTTTCATTTCTTGATTTCCTCCATAACTACTTGACTCACAAAGACAATACCAAAGACAAAGTAAAGAAAGAAGGAGGAATTCAAAATGAGTGTAAGCAAGGATAAGGCGTAAGTATCTTCAAGCTTTTGATATAGTCTTCATAAGTTATGGTAAGATAATTATTAGATATGCATAAAGCCCTGTTTTAGACAGTAGAAAAACATAATGAATTGATAATGTTCTGATATATCCAAGGTGATAAAAGATGAATCAAATAATGTTGCAGATTTGGTACTTAGTTCAAGCAAGGGCAGAATATCACACTCTGTATGCATTACACATAATCTTAAACAAGCATAAAACAATGCTCCAACATGCTTTGCTACACTGTTCCTTCTCTCTCCGAGACAAGGAATAATAATTTCAAAGTAGATTTTCTATTCAAAATCCAACAAACCATCGCAATATTATTTTGTTACAAGAGAGATAATAGTACAAGCTGAAACTTTACCAAATATTCTAAGGTACAGATCCTTCTTCGCTGCACCAAGTTTGTGGCTATGGAAGGTGGAAATGGAGATAGGGTTTTGAGCTATGGTGGAAGAATCAGAACATAGCAGCGCCTTTCTCTCCCTCTAAATTCTGAAGTGAGAGACGTGGCTGAGGTGAGGACTAGAGTGCAATGCTTTGATCTTGATTCAGCAGCAGCAAAGAGAAGGACAAAGAGAGAGAGAGCAAGAGAAGAAAGAAAAAGAGGGAGGGGATGAGACGGAAGGAAGAGAAAGGGAATGGCATTTTTGACTTTTCTCCTATATTTCATAATTGCAATTTAGGACCCGGTCTCTGATAGTTATTTTGTGAATTGAAGTACCCAAATTGCCATTTTATATTTTCGAAGGTCTTTATTTGCCATTTTCCCATACTTCAAACTAAACATGACCTTAACTTCAAGTTTCTTAATTTACCTCAAATAGAGTGTTCCTAATAGAACTCACCCTTAACTTCCTAGATTTTAAAGACGCATGTAAGATGAATTTCAATTGCTTGATTTTTTATCGAACACATATAATAAGATCAATAAAGGTGAAAGAAGAAAACGAAGTGAACTAAACGAACACATATACAAATCGAGGTGGATGGACTGGACTTGAGAGTTGACATGAAGGTCTAACTAGGGTTCTCTACTTACCGTCATACACGCAATTAGGGTAATATAAGCAAATCATAATTCATAACGCGGTTTTGTGTCTGACTCAGAGAGGTAAAGGGTGGCCTCCATATGATGTTTTCAAATCTAGAGGATCAAAACTAAAGTCAGTCTTTTTGATCAAGTTGATCAAATGTTACGTACGCTACATGTATGGACTTGAAGTTAATTTCTTTAATGTTTCTGCAAATCTTAATATTTCGTTTTACAAGACAGACCCAAAAAATTGAAAGTCTTCCGTAAAATCGGGCAAAAGTTCCACATATAGTTTTTACTTTAACCTGAGTAAGCTCCATATGTAGTTGTCAT